GTTTAGGGGTTTAGGGTTTAGGCCATCAGAAACCAGAAATCAAACCCTGGAACGTCCAAGAAAGCCTGAGTCATCCACGGTGTCCAACATGTCTCACTCCCACCAAAGGCCTCAGGCGCCTGAATAGTTGAGCGACAACACTCCAGATCTCATAAGAGACTGTCCCTAGGGCTTCAGTTAGCTAAATAGTAGGTTACTGGGGTACATAATGTAGGGTTAGGAACCTACTATTTAGGTAAGTGGAGCCCTTGGGTGTATCTTCAAAACAATGGAGACGTCGACGCTCAAGCCCGAAACCCCAAGGCTAAAAGCTAAAACCACACAATCTCTCTAAAGACAGCTCGTCGAGTCCAATATGCCGGCCCAAGGCCACGGGCAACCCACCTCTTACCTCCTGATGTGATTGTGGGATTTAGGGTTTAGGGTTAAACTTTAAACCTTTTTCCCGGAACCTCCGAGCCCCAAAACACTCTCGAGCTGGGGGATGCCTTGGGGTTTGGGGGCTTGGCTGAGGGTTTTCGGGTTTTGGGTTTTGGCGTTTGGGGTTTGGGGCTTTAGGTGTTTCGGGTTTCGACTCACACACATGGCAATAAGTGTCCGAGCTTGCTACGTGGACATGCTGGGCTCACAAGACAGAGAGCATGCCAACATCGTCCGAAGCATGAACGAGAGGACTAAGTTAGAATAGAGACTAGAGGGCGGTATATAACGTCAGAGGCGCTCTCAATGTCTGAAGCTCAACAGTCCCAGATTATAGGACCCGCGGCACGTTCGCCACTCTCTTTCAATTCAAAAGAAAGCAACTCACTGTTCCCAAGCATGCAGTGTAGCTGCACCCAACGACGGCAGTTTACTCCGTTACAGGGCATGAATAACCTGTGTGTAGTCATGCTGTGTTGGTCACGAGTTTGCACATGCAGATGCTGCTACGGGGTTTTAAGGTTTCGCCCCCCACCAGGTGGCCAGATCCAGAAGCTCGAAAGCACTCTCTGCAGCACAAGGATCGGCATCGAGACTGTCACCTGGCTGGGTTTTCGGACAAAATTTGCTCCAGGGTCTGGGTTTGGGGCTCTGGGGTTGTGGGTTTTCGGACTTGGGCTTAGAACTTAAAATCAGGGTCCTGGGTGTTTTAGGATGGTGGGTTTGGGCTCTTCGTCCCAAGCTGGTTCTCCGCTCTGACTACACTGGTGAATGAATGCATCTAGGATGTCGAGAACCACTCTCCACTCATTGCTTGATAATTGCCTTTACAATTCTTACGGCCCACCGAAACAACTGGCGAGATCACTAATTCCAATTTGAGCCTACCGTCCACATGACACAAACCCAGCATAACTGAACACCCAAAGCTTGCAAACCTAGACCTGTCCAGCAAAAGCCATACACCGAGAAGCAACTCGTAAACATGTACTAGTGTAGGGGCCCGAGAAACTAGAATAGTATAGTCATAATTAATACGGACCCTAGGGCCTAGGGAACAACATTGAAAATCATCTGCTGTAGTCTTCTAGGGTATACACCGCCCCATAGGTCATCGACCCTCAGGAAAAATCTTAAGCGCGCAGCCACAACAAAAACAACAACTGCAAAACCACAAAACACGAAACCTCCCAATCCCACTGCCTACATCCAACCCCAAAATAACCGCAGGCCCTTACCTTTTAAGCCTCAAACCACCCCCTGAACCTGACATTGGCTTTCGAAGGATTTCGACATTTGGGTCTACAGTCAGTCGAGTCTCTGCCACCGCAGGCGACGAAGGCTGCAACCTGCGACGCAGCACCCGGTCCAAGGTCTGCCAGTGCCTTGCAAACAAAGGAAAAGTAGCACGCTCGTATATCTTTACGGGGCGGGATCCTCTTGCACTCGATTCTGTGACTAATGACGGCCTGAATCCTTCGGGCGATTTGAACAAGATGAACTTAGTTGAACTTATCGTGGCCAGGAACACCGAAGACAAACCACGGCAATCATGGTTTTTGGAATTCTTGCTGCCGGAATTGGCTCCCAGAACATCAAAGATCAGAATT